TAATTTCTAGTGGGTCATACGCACATTTTGCAACCAGAGAAGTACTCTAGCAATCAGTGATCTCAACCCCCAGGAGAAAAGAGACTAGGTATCATAATATGCAGTAATCGAATAGATGAAAGACATACTCGATCTGAACGCCCAAAAATTGAGATGAATTTGTGATCTCAAAACTCTGACCAACTGCTCGATTGCAATTACTTGAAAGCCACATCCAGCTAGCAAATTAGTTTTTGAATTCTTTTGGAGTTATTACGGCATTTGCAGATGATTTTTGAATGAGGCAAAATGATTTCACTTGAACAGCACAAGCACTTTGGTTGGTCCCTCATGGGAGTTACTAAATCTCAAAATGTACAGGCAAGTGTCTTCCTTATTGTGACTGGAGGACTATTCGATGCGAAAATTGGGATCAACAGCAGAATTTAAAATCTCGCATATACATTAATAATTAGAAACTCAAAATTCTAAGTAAATCTTCCTTACTTGACCTGCACTCCAAAAGAGAGTGAAAACCAAGATAATCGGGGTAAATATATTAATTACAACGTCACGAGAAACACCTTGATAAGGTAAAATTGATTCAAGAAAAGTATTGATGAAAATGTCATAAATTACTTTGATAAGTAAATATTAATTTTCCATTCAACAAGAAGGTTGAAGAAAATCTCAATAGTTAAAATTAAAACTTTATAATTCTATTATTCTCAAAACTTCAATTGAATAAAGCTGTGAACTGATGACTTATTTATAGGGTATGACATGTGAATAATAAGAAAAATAATCTCCTAAATTAATTACAAAATTACATAAGAAAATAAATATAAAATAGAATAGAAAACTTGCAACAATTAAAATAATTATTTTTTAAAATATGATAAATATGATCTCCTTATGAAAAAATCTTTTTAAATAGAAAGATCTTAATATCATTGTGACTGATTTAGGATAAATAATTGTAGAAGATTAAGGCCCCCCACAATCTTTCCAAAATCCATGAGATTCAATCTTCTATTAAGGCATGTGATTTGTTTTCTTCTTTCTCTTGATTTCCTATGTAGTTTAGGAAGGAAATCCACCGTTTGGTTGATTCTCCCTTTAAGAAGAAATTTTTTTCTCTTTACTTGCTCACATCATCCCCTTTCAACTGAATTGTAGTGTGTTTACAGTTTATGGTTAAAGGTCTTTATATAAGCTTTTCCTAAGATAGTTTTAGATAATTACAAACACTTAAAAAAATAATAACATAATATTATATCCTAATTTAGAATTTAAATTAAATAATTAAATAAATATAGGGCTATAATTTATATCAAACATTATCATAAAAAAATATTAAAATATGCAATATAAAAATATTAAAAGGAAGCCAAAGCCGGGCCGACCGAACGGCCCAGCAGCCCGGCAGCAGCAGACGACCCAGCAGCAGGTGGGTGAACTGGGCAGGCCGCGGATCTGTGAGGTGCGTGGGCCACGCGCACAGGCCCAGTCCATGTGTCGCGTGCGCACGTGTGCGAGCTCCCTTTGGCCGCATGGTTGAATTGTGTGGAGATAAGGCATTGGCAAAATTTTGGGACTCTTTCCACCATTTTTTCATGTGCTTTTTAAGGTAAAATTCTGCAGCAACTTATTTCACATTCAGCACATGGGAAAAAGGAATAATTATTCCTTAATTAATATTTTTAATGTATTTTAACTTTAAATTTTATCCCAGAATTAAATTATGTAATATTTTAATCTTAGCATTAACCTACTTAATTAATTTATTATGTAATTTTTATCTTATGATTTTATCAACATATTATTTTATCACTTTTCAAGTGTCTGTAACCATCTAAAACTATTTCGGGAAAAACTTATATAAAGACATTTGTCCATAGGTTATAAACACATTACAATTCAGTTGAGAAATAAATCAAAGCTTAGACTTTCTTCTTTAGTTTGCAATTTGCTAATTTTTTTAACTTCTTCAAATTCTTCAAGACGCAGAAGTCTTATCGGAGAGGAGATCAACTTATCGGTAAGTCCGTGATATTTTTCATTTCCTTATTTTTAATTCTATACTTCTTGTTTATGCATGCCTATTAGGTGTTGTAAATTCAAATAGAAAAAAAAATTTTATAAGTGGTTAAGTTTCTATATTAAATATGTTGTGTGGGTTATAAAAGTTAATTCGATCCTCCCGATATTCTCCTACATCATTTGGTATCAGAGTTTAGACTCCTAAAACCCAAAACTATCTTTATTATTCTTCAACATTTTTGTTATAAATTAACATTCCAAATTTATTTTGATTATTAATTCATTTGCATGTTACTTGAATCTATTCTATCAGTTCATTTCAAGTAATTGTGTGTTTGTTTCAATATTCAAAACAAATCTCTAAAAAAAATATCTCAATTGTACCTATAAGACAATTGACACACTATTTGCATATCAAAAGTAGAGTAACCAACAAAATAGATTGTTGGAAAACCGTCTGAGTGAAAGAGTAAGGCATCTACTAAGTGAGAGAGAAAACTTTTGTGTCCACATTTTGTTTGTATCATCCATTCTGCATTGCATAAAACACTCGTGCATGCACTCTTTGGGCTTCTAGAGTTTGTTAGGAATTTTTGCAAAAAATTTTCTAACTCGCAGGACTCGATTAAAGAAAATTCCAAACCCCGACGCTCAATCTGATAGAGAGATTGAGTGTGAATAGCATACACGAGTGGAGTGAGACAAAATGAGTTATGGAAACCAAGACACTAGCTAAATTTCACTTACGGATGTGACCACGGTATCAACCCAAATGCCTTTCTATTATTTCTTAGCTTTTTTATTGTATTCAAAATCATTAAGCAACAGCGAAATGGATTCGAGAATGAATTCTTTGGAAGACAGGGGAGATGACATGACCATGGAAAAACTTTCAGGATATCCGGTAAACGGCAAGCAAAGTTCGCACGAGTCAATCGTGCAGGCAAGGGAGCCCACACGCGTGCGTAGGGGACGTGGGCTGGGCTTGCGTGCGAGGCCTGCACGCCTCACGGATCTGCAGCCTGCCCAGTTCGCGCACCTACTGCTATGCCAACTACTACTGCCAGGCTACTGGGCCATTCGATCGGCCCGGTTTTGGCTTCCTTGGGCTTGGGTTGAGGGCCAGTGTCCGAGCCTTTCCGAATGGGCCTCTCACGTCTGTCTCCTCGAGTGTGCAGCATGGGCTGCACGCTGGCTTGGTGTGAACGACCTACTAGTCCGCGGCTTGGGCCTAGCAGGTCAGGGAGCGGGTCAAGCAGCTTGGGTACCTGCCTGCAAGGTCTCCACCCATTCAGGCACGTGTTCTCAGGTGGAGCACGTGTGCGGCCCGTTTTCCTCCATCATGAGTGGTTTTGTGCGCATGGGCTTCAGGTCAGGTCTCTGGGTTTCCAGTCGACCATGGACTGGGATCTTTGGCTTCCTGGATTATTCTAAAGGCCCATGATTCGTCCTCTTCTGTGCTCCCTTGGGCTGATTGTCTTTACGGCTCACATGGTCTCCCTTCTTTGATGGCATTCAGGATCCATCTTACTCGATCTAGGCTTGCTCAGTCAGGATCTTTGGGCTTCAATGGACTAGACTTTAATCCCGGGTTTCAAATCCGTTTTATTGGTTGAGGCTTCTTCCTCATTTTGTTTTCGAGTTGGTGCAAACTTTGATTGTCACTTACCGGATATCTTGAAAGCCTTCCCACGGTCATATCATCATCCCTTTCTTCAAAAAGATTCATTCTCAAATTCATCTAGCTATTGCTTAATGATCTTGGATACAACAGAGAAGTTAAAAAATAATGGAAGGCGTTAGGTTGATGCTGCGGACTGACGGAACTCATATGTTAGTGAAATTGAGTTAGTGTCTCGGTTTCATAACTCATTTTGTTTCATTCCACTTGTGTATGCTATTCACACTCAATCTCTCTGTCAAGTTGAGCATTAAAATTGGGATCTTCCCTAATCGAGTCCCTGCGAGTTAGAAAATTTTTCACAAAAATTCCTAACAAACTCTAGATGCCCAAAATGCGCATACACGGAGTGTTTTATGCAAGCAGAGTGAACGATCCAAACAAAATACACAAAAATTTTCACTCTCATCTAGTAGATGACTTATTTTTCCACTTGATAGTTTTCCAATAATCTATTTAGGTAGTTACTCTACTTTTGATATGCAAAATGTAAATAACGTGTCAATTGCTTTATGGCGTGCAGTTGAGATTTTTTCTATACAAATTTTTTTTTTTTTTTTTAATATTGGAACAAATACAAAATTACTTGAAACGAACTGATAGAATGGATTCGAGTAACATACAAATGAATTAATAATCAAAATAAAATTTGAATGTTAATTTGAAACAAGAATGTTGAAGAACAATAAAGATAGTTTTGGATATTAGGAGCCTAAACTCTGACACTAGATGATGCGGGAGGATATGGGGAAGATCGAATCAACTGCTATAACCCACACAGTGTATGCAATATAGAAAGTTAACCGTCTAAAAAGCTCCTTCATCTACTTGAATCTACAACACCTAATAGCCATGCATAAACAAAAAATAGGGAATTAGAAACAAAAAAAGAAAAAATGTCACGGACTTACCAATAAGTTGATTCAAGCTTATTATCTCAACAAAACTTCTGAAAACTCTTACTTCTTAAAAAACTTGAAGAAATTCAAAAAAATTAACAAACAGCTACCTGAAGAAGAAAACCTAAGCTTTGATTTATTTGTCAATTGAGTTATAATGTGCTTACAAACTATGGGCAAAAACCTTTATATAGGCTTTTCCCGAGATAGTTTTACATGGTTACAAACACTTAAAAAATAATAAAATAATATATTGATAAAATCCTAGGATAACAATAACATAATAAATTAATTGTTTAGGTTAATCCTAATACTAAAATATTACATAATTTAATATCGGAATAAAAATTGCAGAAATTCCCATTAACTTTTTATCTAAGGTATCTGAAAGTATTTCCTTTTGCTTGTTAGCTTTACGTTAATCCTTCTGGTGGCCACTCAACGTCAATGCTACCCAGAAGCAAAGTGAAGCTTGAATACTGTGGAAATGAATGGACAAGGACATCTAGGGTTATGTTTGCTAATGCCCTGTTTGCCAACAACATCAACCAGAAAATGTAGCTTCCCCATGCCTCCTACAACCCCTGCCTATTCCTGAGAATATAAAGGACTAGTATCAGCATGAATTTCATCAACGGATTTCCAATCTCATGGCAAGGATTCCATTTTTCTTGTGGTGGACCATTTGACCAAATATGTTAGTTTCATGCCCCTGAACATCTTTATTTGGCCACCAAGTATGCTCAATGTTATTTGGATAATGCTTTTAACCTCCAAGGTCTCCCTACCAGCAACAACGGTGAACAGGAACCATCTTTCTAAACAAGTTTTTGAAAGACTTCTTTTGGTTATAGGGCATTGAACTCCTGAACTCCACAGCTTAATATATTCAAAAAGATGGCCAAATTAAAATCGTGAACAGCTGTTTAGGCACTTGTATAAGTTGTATGGTTAATGAGGATCCTAACCACCATCGGGATTTCCCCTGCAGAATGATGATATAACACCTATTCCCCATAACTAAGCCCATACAGTTCGAGATCCTATATCTTCCATATTTCCTGGGGATTCCACCACTAAAGCAGTGAACCTCTTCATCACGAACAGTGAATGCACTTTAAACCTTCTCAAACATTATGTGACCAATGCTTAGAATCATATGAAACAGCAACCAGAAAAGGTTTGGTCTGATCAGCCGCATTCCCCTGGCGACTATGTCTACATTAAACTTCAATGGTACCACCAATTATCTCTCCACAAACGACTCAGCGATAGACTATTTCCTATCTACTATGGTCCCTACCACATCTTAGCTAAAATCAGCCATGCTGCTGTCAAAAGCTCTGGACATTAGCTCCGACAGCATAGAGAACAGACCACAAAGCTAGAGAGAGATATAGAGAAGAGAGATAGATTCAAGGGAGGAATTAAGAAGGAGATTGAGAGAATTTGGAGATGGACTGTTTTAAGTTTTTTTGAATGTGAGATTACATGCTACTACCATCCAAGATCAACCTATTTATATTGTTCATTTGGAATCCTAATCTGTTAACAGAATAACAGATTGTTGGGCCCAAAATTTATTCCTTGTATACAACGGTAAAGTCACACATGTCCCACATGCATACCTCTAACTTCACAACACAGCCCTACATCTCTAATAAACTGTTAACGGCTTACTATTGGCATTGATAATACCCTCCCCTTGAACAGCAACCTTGTCCCTAAGGTTGAGATGTGGAAATTGCTGACATAGAAACTCCCGGTCTTTCCAAGTGCAATTAGTCCACAACCGTTCCCATCCATTACAGTAGTACTTGTTCTACTTCTTTTCCATTCCTGATAACTTTCCTGCTTTGCAAAATTCTTTCCGGAGTTACCACAATAGTCCCTTCTGAATCCATAATAGGAAGTTCTACAAAATATATATGCTTGCCTGACATTTCTTCAGTTGTGACATATGGAACATTTGGTGGAATCGAGAATTATCGGGCAGTTTCAGATTATATGTGACCTCTTCGATCTTCTGCAAAATCTCAAAAGACCTAGAGAAATAGGGAGATAGCTTGGATGTGTTCCCCTTTCAAACTGACCCTTGGAAAAAAGGCTACGTCGTCAATAACGCTAGTTTTTGTTCATTGAAATGCCTCCCACTGTGGTTGCTATTTGAAAACTGATTGATTCTCTGCTAAGCTTTAAATAATAGTTGCTTCCCCGGCTTATCCGCTGTCTTTCCATCAAAAACTCTTCCACTGTCTGAGATGGGGTTTGGATATACACAGTATCCAAGAATTGAAGAGGAGCATAATCATACAGTGCCTGGAAAAGAGTCATCTTTAAACTAGAATGATAAGTTTTGTTGTACCACCATTTCATTAGTGCCAAACACTTAGCCCAACCCTTCAACTTTTGATGAGCCATACATCTCAAATACATTTCCAAATATTGGTTCAAGCATTCTGTTGGCCCATTTGTTTGCAGATAGCATGCCAAACAGAAATGCAAGGCTGTCCCTGAAAGTTTCATTAATTCCGTCCAAAACAGGCTTGTAAAAATTTTATCCCAATCTGATGCTAACACCTTAGGAATCCCATGAAGTTGGTGAACATTCTCTAGGTAAATTAAAGCCTTAGGCAGTTGTTCAGTGAATCCAAAAAGACATGCATCCAAGCCTAGGTGGGAACAGTGTGGGGCTGCAACAGTCCTGTCAGGGGTACTTCTTCCGCTGGCAAAGCTCACAGCATTGTATCCATTCCATAAGTTGTTGCTTGCCAATAGAAATGTTGCTTAAGACGTTCATAAGTAGGCTTAAGGCAGAATGCTCCTGCATCACCAAGTTATAACGTGTTGCATGATTATCTCTCTGAGGTCCGGACTGGATCCTATCACCATCATGCTTTTATACCTTAGAATACCATTTGTAGAAAAGCGGTCGGCTCATGGAGCATAAGTAGTTTGAATGTGAGACTACATGCTACTGCCTTCCAAGATCAACCTATTTAGTGTTGACTTGGAATCATAATCTGTTAACAGAATAATAGATTGATGGGCCTTACATTTATTTTTTGTATACAACATTAAACACACATATTATGTATGCACATCCTCTAACTTCACAACACAGTTCTACGTCTCTGGTAAACCTTTAACAGCTTACTGTTGGCACTGACAGCTGCTTACCACCTTGACTTTCCCTCTTCGACATCAATCCACCTAGCTTCCATATGCAACCTTAATCCAAACCAGTCACCCACACTTACTCTACCCCTTCCAGAAGCCATAGGCAAACCCCAACCTACGAGGCCAAGTAGCTGCTATTCAACTTCTGGACTGCTATCCCTATCGAAGATGCCACATTGTCTATTTGTATGATCTACAAAAGATTATCCCAACTTCCATACCCTTGAGGACAAGGGTGTTTCCAACAGAGGGAGATCTGATGGGCAGGAATTGGAGTTATAAATAACAAACTGATTGTTGCTCAGGAAATAACAGGATTACTTACAACAGTTAAGAGGATTAATGAAATTTGACATTGTAATCGTTGAGTATAATACTGAACTAAAGCATATAAACAGCAAATCTATCAAAAAAAAAAGAATCCTCTTGCCTTTGTTGTCTTCTTCCTCTCTCTCCCTCCCTGCTCTCTCTTTTCTCCGGTTTCTGTTTGCTCCTACTAGCATCATAATACAAAGTAGCTGTATCGGTAACTTGGGATGGTATTTGCGAACACATAGGGTATTTTAGCTTTTTAAAAATAAAAATTAGAAAAAAGTTCTTCCTTTTATAGACTCCATCTCTTTTGAAAATCTAAAAACAATACCCAAAACATTTTTGTTATTAGGTTAAACCATTTTTTTAGAAGGAAAAACAGAAACAAACCAAAAATTAATAATGCTTAAAGCAAAAACTGTGAAAATAACCAATAATTGAACCGATTTAACTGAATAATCACGATTCATTTCGGTTTACCAGAACCAAATTCACACCATTAACAACATCTCCAATGCGGTAGATTCTCAATTTCTACGAAAACTAGAACGATCGTTCATTTAGAAAGAATAAGGGGAAAATCAACGATTATCTGAATTGATTAACAAAAAGAAGGCAACAACTCGAAGGCGGTGATATTCAAAATTTCTGCTACTAAACGAACCTCAAAGCGGTTTAATATCTTAACATAATTAGCTAAGCAGCTGGAATTAAGAGGCATGGCGAAAAACGCTTGCCTGGATCGCAAACGGAAGAGGAGGAGGTAGTATTTCTCTCACTCTTTCTCATTCCTCATCACCAAAACGTAGAAGAAGACCAACCAGGTTGGAACCCTGAAAAAAAAAAAAAAAGCGCCGTTTAATGGAAAGGAGGGGATAGGAAGGGTAAAACAGTAACTTCACCTTCAACAAAGTCTAAAGCGGAAAGCTGGGCGGCGTATAAATGTATTAGAAAAAGGAATCTAACTCCAAATGAAGGATTATTAGCTTTAGGAGACCTTCAAGTTTTAATACTCCGATTAGAGGAAAACTTCCACAACCACTAGAATTTCTTAAATCTCTCAGCATCTGCAATTAAGGATCGATCCAGTAATCTGTGATCGTAAGTTTCAGATAATTTTCTTTTTGCCCGGTAGCAATCATGAACTGCGAAGCCTGCCAACTCAAAGAACTGGTAACCAAAATCAACGTCTCAATTTAACCTCAGATACGCTTTAATTACTTTCCTTCTTCTCAATTAAAGCTTTTTCTTCATTGATCATAAATACTCAATTAAATCATTTTTTTTAATTGTTTGTAGGAAGTAGAACACTTCGAGATACGCGAGGTTTTACGCTGTAAGTTCATATCTGACTGTTGGCTCTTTTGTTTTTGCTTTTTATCAACCAAGTTGTTCTTTTGTTGCTTCATAGTAGTTGCTTTTTTGAGTTTGTTATTGGTTCCCCTTCTACTTATATTTGAGCAACTGGAACCTGCTTGAACCCCAATTTAATAGTTTCTCTTTTTGGGTATCATTTTCTTAAGTGAAGAGGTTTCGTAGTTTTGTTTCTATTTTAGTAGCAACAATAATTTGCTTTGTTTCACTGCCTTATACATCATTTTGGCTGTATGATTTTTAAGGCTATCCAGTAGAATTGGATCCGTCGCGTGTAAGTCATGGCTTGTAGGCCTTCTAAATCACCTATCTGAACTTTTCTTTTCATTGTTGTAATCCTTCCATTTCCTTCATAATTTCACAGATTCATATTTGTTTGACATAATAAATTCTTGCAAGTAAACTGAGAAAGTGAAATTGGTTGCAGGCATACTGCACACGATTGTCTTTCACCGGGCTTTAGGTCTTGTGCGGCCCAAAGATATTGATTTAGAACTTTTTGAAATTACATATGTAAGTGGTTTCACTTCCTGACTCGTTGATGTAATGTTTGCCTACAGGTAAAAGTGAATACCTGTAACAACAATATATTTATATTCTACATTGTAATTTCTTATGATAGGTACAATGTGGTGATGCAGAACTTGAGAAGAAGATAGATGAAAAGATTGAGCAGTTTATAAGTTGGGTTGATAAACACCCAAACAAGAAAAGTCAGGTTTGCTGTTTGTTTATGCCTTTTGTTAACGATATCTTTCCTCTGCTTCAACACCAGATTCTGGTTTCTGTGTGTTATTTTTAGTGAAAATTTGAGATGTTGCTACTTTCAATTGATGTTGAAATTTTTTTGAAATTATCCTTAAAAAGAGGAGTATTATAAGTACCTCCCCTTTTTCTTTTGCTTGCTTTCTGAAACTTCGGTGTCCATCTCACATGGCAAAGGTGCCATTTCATACTTACATATCTATGATTCCTGTGTCAGGAAAATGGAAGTATTTTATCTTGGATTTGCCTTATTTGAAAAGTTCTGGTTCACAATCTGTTTTAACAGGTGACACATTAGTGTCTGCAGCTGATTTGATTATCTGTTTCTGACTTGGGCACTGATGATGCAGATATGTTTATCATTCTATGAAGTGAAAAGCAAACAACCTTCTTGGTTCACTAACAAAATTGAGCGGCTATATTGGGAACAGTGGTATATTAACTTGAATGTAACTCAACATCCAAAAGCACATTCTGGCAAGTTTCATCATTCCAAAATAGTAGTTGACCCAGGAGGTAGTGCAGATCTCATGGACAAATTGAATCATTGTTGAGATTTAATTGTTTTCTAATAAATTGTTTTCTTGTCGTTTTGTTCTCATGTCAATTGTAGAGAGTGCATCTGAGGAGAGAATTGCTCGTAGAGCTGCACTCGAGGCATCACTTCGTGAGGTTTTATTTCAAATTGTAAAATTTGTGAATGAGAAAAAGGACCATGTTCCACCCATAACTGATGCTACACATTTCCCCTATGAAATTACCATCCCAAGGTCAGCTCTCTTTTCAGATTATTTATCATTGATGGAGCGGATCTTATTGTGCTTCTTTTCAGTTTTTTGGTTCCAATTGCCTGCACAATGCTTTTCAGTATTACCTGCACGAACATTCTATGTAGTAGACCTGATTTAATTTGGATGATTTTTGTGGTGGTAAGCGGGAATCTTACACCTTAGAGTTTTGAGCTATACTGATGAGAAGTTTTCATTTGAGTTTGTTTCATTTAGACAGGTTTATGTCAATCAGGAGAAAGGCATGGATGAGTAAGTATCTAAGAGATGTGATGAAGATCTATTGGATGTCAATTCTATAAAGGAAAAGGGTACACTAGGATAGTTCTGCAGAAAATTCCTTTGATGCCATAAAAGAAACTTCATTGATATAAATGACATATTAGAAAAGGTTGGCGGTCTTGCTATTTTCTATTCGTCTTATATGAAGAAAGCTAGGAAATAATATGTTGATGAGATTGAATAGGGTTAATCAACTTGAGACAAGCTTTTAGAGGGGTGTTTTCTGGAGGATACCTGCAAAGTTGCGAATACCCAAGGATGAAACCTGTGTTTAGCGGGAAGGAGGATTGGATCTCTGTCAGCAAAATGTCTGTGAAAGTTTTAATATGGGGAAAGGCCTGTGAATGTCATAGAGGCAGATACTGAACCCACGTGATCCAGAAGTTAATTGAAGAAACAAGTAATTCACAGATATAAAAAAGGGGTTAAGTGTGCAAATTCCGGATAATTGAGACAAAGGCTCCTACTCTGATTGTTAGAAGAACATATATGACGGTCTTAATATAGAGGCTGGCCCCAATAATGAGCATGTAGGGAAACAAAAGTTTAGCTGAAGATACAGAGACAGATACAAACGCGGTAAAGGAGCTAGGAACTTACAGATGGAGAACTAAATCATTAGACCAAAAGTCTTCTTGAATGGGGTGCTGGAATCTTTGGAGTAAATTAAGTATATATTAGCATTTAAAAAAAATTATTGACTAGCCAGATCTGCCCTGGCCAACCACCAACAAGGCTGAATCTGGCCTTACCAGGCACCATAAGGTTTGATGATGCTTGGCCAGGAACCCAGCTAGCAAGGCCTTGGCGAAGCCAACCTGATTTCAAATGCTAGGTCAGCTAGGTCAAATGTCAGGTGTCAACCTGCTGGTCAAGTGGACTAGGTTTCCAATGATAAGGCCGAATGCCAATAGTCAGCCTAGCGTTCGAGTGTCCAAGCAGATTGTGATTGCATTTGTTTGGCTGCAGGGGGTAGGTGGATAAATGTAGATTTAAGATTAAAATAAGGGGATTTGCTTTGCTCATGTTATAAAGTTGGGGTTATGCTAGGGCAAAAGTCATGGGGCTTCTGCAGCTTACTTCGAAATGTTTTTTACCCTCCATTAATATGTGTAGCTTGTACTTGTGCTTTGATTTTGTATAAGGCCAAATCTTGACGTTGCTGTTAGGTTTCTTTAAGCAAACTACATGCACATCCCTGAGTTTTAAGGATAATTGCAGTGTGGTTCACTTGTCTCTAAAACAATTGATTTCTTTTTATTTATATACTATTATAAAACAGAAACTATTTAAAAGATCTCTGTTAATGGATGCACAATAGTAGAAACATCAGCCTTCAAGAAATATATGACTATTTGCTTTAGTGTGAGTTCGGAGATCTACAGTGAATTCAGAACACATTGAAGATTATTGATTTTATGTTATAATTACACATTATTTATGTTACTTTTTAGCAAGAGATATATGATTTAACAGTTTCACACAAGTTTCAAATTGTTGAAAGATAAGCAAGCTAAATATTCGTTTATGACCTAAACATCGTTGGAATAAAGATTCATCTATTGAAGACTCAGTTGATATTTTAAACAATAGTAGACTGAATTTATGCTCAAAGTTCAACGGTCTGCATGTAATTCATTTTATTTATTTATTTTGAACATCAGCATTAGTTTTCTTTCTTTTCTTTGCTAAATGAATCAGCTTTTTGGAATTTATCATCAAATATTAAGATGGTAAACGTAGACTAGAATAATGACTCTAATTTGATGTTTCAGTCAACAAAAACCTATTTCCTTTTGGTTAAGAGAATACCTTTTTTTTGTGGAGGGGACTATTGTACAATTAAAGCCTTTTGTCTATACTTGTAGAGAGACGGTGGTCTTTTAATGAGACGAACTTAGACTTTGTTTTCCTTGTATCAGAGACCTTAATGTGTATAGTTTCTTTAGTATTTTCCATTTTCTTAGAGTTGGTTTTAACTAGATACAAAACATAAAATCAATTTACAGTCGAGGCAAGGAACATCATTAATGTCCTTGATGCAAGTATGGCTACATTAACTACTTTGCTGCCCTAGCTAGGAGAAAACAGCCACTTCTTGTTCTCTGGCTACCTGGTTTAGAACGTTGAAGTAGAATGAGAACAATAACCGTTATGTTTGCTATCTATTTACATTTTAGTTTGCTCTCAAGTACGATGCACATAGTGTAGCAAACAAAGGAATAAATGAGGTCGGTTTTGCCTTTCCACTTCTGTTTGTTAGGTAATTTGTCTGAAGCTCATGATCTGACTGCTGAGTTAACATTCTGCTGCCCATGACTCAGTTCATCAGATTCTGCTTTTGGAATGGATATGTTCAAGAGGATGCTACAGACTGGCCATCCAACTATGCTCAGCTGATTCTCAGAATTTGGAACTTGAAGCAATTCGTAAACGAGTAAGATGGTTCCTTCTCTGGGCTCTAGTTATAGAACAATATTATAATGGTATTGGGGGTAAGAAGCAAGATGGTAGGGGTACTGGTTGCACACTTTGTAAAAGACATTACTCCTACATATGTGTAATTCCATTCTCTCTGTAAATATATCTTCCTTTTGTATATCAAGTTATTTTTTTTTTTACACAAATCTCTTTTTAGTCCTCAAATACAAATATTTGAAACCCATCCATTCGAATGGGACTCTTAAAGAGTGCTGCATTTCTTATTTTTGTGTTTGGGTTTTACTTGAAACACAGTAGAGTGACATTTCTGCCTAACTATAGCCTTATAGAAATTTTATCTTTCATTTTTGTTTTCAAATTGAAATTTATACATTTCATAGATATGTGATATATATATACATCTATGATAATATAACTTTTTTTTTAGTACATACAGAATCGAAATTATAATCTTTTAACACTAACCACCACTTGGTATAATATACCTCTTCCTTTTTGACACATGCTTCTATACATATATATATATATATATATATCCACATTGATCTGAACCTCCATAAACATTCTTCAATCTCAATGCTGCAAAAACGACACTTAAAAATTATTATTATTAATTTTTGTTCAAAAGAACTTTATTCATATATTTGCAAAATTTACCATCTCATCTTTGGAAGAATTAATCAAATTTTAAGTATGTTGAGCTTTTGATTCAATTTACCTCAGAATTAGGAACATGGTAAGTCTCTCTTCTTTGTTTAATCATACAATTTTTCCATAATAAATATTTTATTAGTCTTGCGGATATTTAATCATTAAAAAAAAATATATACAAACTATTTAGTTTTCTAATTCTTTTGTTTATTTTTAATTTAAATTATTTATTTTTTAGTTCTTTAGAATTATGTTTTTATTTTCAAATATTATGTATATTATATTTTAACGTCACGTCTATTTTAATAATATACTGAATTATGATAATTTGAGTTTCTGATATTTTAACCCCCAGGAAAATTGAATTTCCAATTCTAATAATTCAAACAAGGAGGGCATTCATGTAATTTCAAGAAAAAATCATCCCCAACTGTGAAGATAAAACCCAAATTTCTCATCTGACAAACCCTAAACTGCCTCGCTCAAGCTCCCGTTACAATCCCCTGCCCGTCTCCCAACCATGGGTCTTCTTTCCTGGTTCAAAGGAAAACCCCAACAAACTCAACCAAACAAGCAAAACCCAAAACAGGAAACACCAGCACCGGGCATGAACGGAGCCGTGGAGGTGCCCCGACCCGACAGCGTCACGGTTTTCGAGTTCGGCTCGGTGGCTAGCACCGCGGACAAGGTCACTCTCGCTGGCTACTGCCCCGTATCGGACGACCTGGAACCCTGCCGCTGGGAGATCCTTCCTGCAAATAGCTCTGATGCGCCACAGTTTCGGGTGGTCTTTTGAGCAGTTAAAAAGAAATTGCTTGTACGAAATTTTAGGAAATTGAAAAGCCCTACTACTAGTTGTATGTACGTTTAATTCAAAACTAATTCTTGCCCTGAATGGAAATGGAAAACAATCCTGTTTAAAAATTTAGCTGCTTTCTATTAATTTTCACTTCAAAAATAATTGGCAGCTTAGGCAGGAGAACAATTTGCTGGTCTCCTTGTGTATTTATTGTTGTTCATCTAGGTTTTTGAGTGATGGGTTTGGTACAACTAGTGGTATTTATGCGGATTATTTGGGTTAAAAGTGGGTTTGTTGCAATGAGTTTTGTGTAAAGATGACGTTGTTGCTATCCCTGCTTTGAAAATAATAAGCAACTGAGCTTTTGTTTGTTCTACAGAAAGATTTTGCCAGCTTTGTATTTCTTTTTCTGTAATGCGTTCTTTAGCTTCTATAGTTTGATTTAATCTCTTATTGCCTTGTGTTAGATATTGAATGCTGTTGAAAATAATAAGCAACCGACCCATGTGGGGTTCTGTAGCTTCTATGGTTTGATTAGTCGCTTATTGCTCTGTGTTAGATATTAGAAGCTGTTCTTTTGTTGAATTTTAGTTGTTGAGCTCGTGCTAGCTAATATGGTTTTTATTCCCTTGAAGGGTTCTTAGCTATGGGATTTGATCTCTTGTTGGACCTAACCTGGGTGTTGGCCTGGCTGGTTTACAAGTGACATTCCCGCAAACACCTTTTTTAGATGGCAGTGAATTATAAGATTTTAATGAATGGTATTTCACATGTATAAAAAAATTATATTTATAGCAGACAGTGTATTATCAAATTATTTTTTTTCTCTTTATATTTTTATAAAATATATTTAATTTAATTTTTATTTTTATAAATTATTATTAAATATAAAATTTTAATTTAATTATGTATAATAATTATTTATTTAAATATAGAGTACTTTTATTGATAAATAAATTTTATTTTTATTACATATTTTTTATATATTATTTATTATTACATGTAATAAATATAAGTAAATTAGTAATTTGATTGAAAATATAATCATATTATCTTATCATTCAAATAAAAATATGTCATTAATATACAATTATTCAAATATAAATTTTTTTTTTTATCATTCTCATCTTATATCATTGTTATTCAATTACTGTTATTATCATATATTAATTAATTATCATTTAAATAAAAATATGTCATTAATATATAATAATCTAAATATAAATTTTTTTTGTTATTTTCGTCTTATATTATTGTTATCCAATCACTGTTATTATCATACATTAATTAACAATTACTAAAATTTATTTAAACTAAGTGTAAGTACTTCTTGTTAGTGTATCTGAGATATTTGTCAAGAGCTAAAGAGCCTCGTTATGCTGTGCATAGAGTGTGATTGCATGTTGTTCCTGGGTAATGAATGTCAACAATGAGAGGATGCGGCTGGAGTTGGCTGATGAAACACTTGATATCTCGAGGAAATGTGAAGCTCAAGTATAGCTCTTTCTTGAGGTTGAGAGTAAATTGGCCTACGAGCTCAATTTTAATTGTAAAATTAAATTTTATAAACAAGTTGAAGATGAATGAACGTTTCTCTTAATGATTATGTTTAATGGAATCATGTTAATAGAGCAGGAAACACAATATTTCAAGACTGGTTCAACATTGCTTGCTGAACATAAAAGTTTATGTAATTCAAACATATAAAAGTTTATGTAATTTCACATATAAAAATAATTTGCCAAAAGGACAAAATATAAATAGAATAAGGGTTTATCCAAATGGAACCTTAGGCGGTTTACAATTCTCTACAAGAAACATTTATCCCCAATCACACATAATAACACCCTCTTGAATAAAAAGCCTCATTTTTTCAATAGAAGATGTCTAGGAGCATCACAGAGGCATCAATGCACTCATGATATGGACAAAATATCACTCACTCGGCAGCAGAAATGAATAAATTTACTCTACAATACACACGTGTGCATACAAAGTGAGGCTCAGAAAATCAAGAATGTGAAAGCCTCAAGTAATGCACTAATATCCAGTCTGTTACATCAATCACGCCAGGCCCTTAGCCTGATCTCAGAGGATACTGTAATAAGAATCTTCATCTCCCATTCCAACGTAACACATTATGGCCAGCACAAACACAAAAAAAGAGGATAAGTCCATTGCTAGTGCTCCCCATCCGATAACTCCAGCGTGCTTTAAAATTACCGGTATGGCAACGCTCCCAACTGCTGAAGCTCCCGTCAAGAACTTGGTTATGTTGACCCAGCTATTAGCCATTTATTAAGAAGCAATAACACAAGAGTATTTCAGTTCCCAATCTTAGAACAAAACCATCAAATTTCACTGCCAAATAAGTTCAACAAGGAAATGTTCTGACCTATTCCCAGAATCAGAAATCAGAGCAGAAGTACCAGATCCGGTAAAGAATAATAAGGGCATTGGAAGAAGCACATATGTTATTACTGCAAATGACAATAAGCCATCATTGAAACCATTCATGAAATAAGCATATCATCACCATTATATATAGAGGGCTCTCACTTGCTTTCACTATCAACTGACTTAAGTTACGAATGAACTAGTAGAGGGATTCAAGGAAATAGGATAATCTGCTCTTTGTGATGACATGAGATTATTAAGCCATCAAAACACTTTCAATGAACATAAGCAAGTATAGATTAAAAGTCCCATTTAAAGTCCAAAACAGGCAAAAAGATATGCTTAATTCCAGAAATGAACATAAGCAAGTATGGATTAATAAATATTTATTAATAGCAAGAAGAACTCATCATCTGTTTTCACATCAGTTAATTCTTGAAATTTAGCCACCACTAATTGGCAGAAGTATTCTCTAAAAAGTAAAAAGAAAATAATCAACAAAAGTATTTTTGAGTTTCAGAGTTATATGAAACACTGAAAGATCCATTGACAAGAACTTAATGGCAGTGTATAGAAGTAAAAAGTTTAGATTCACCTACAAGTTAGCATTGGCCACCAATTATTGTACAAAGCACAGGCCTGGCATATAACAAAGAAAGAATGAGAAAAAGAGCAAAACTGGCTCATCAGAAGAATTGCAGATTTTTTTTTTTTTTTAAAAAAAAGAAATTCAAAGGTGATTAACAGGAAAGTACTAGTTACCAGAACTTGCAGTACAATCCCTCCAGAGACCAAAATTGCCAGAGAGGCAAGTTTTCCAGTTTGCAAGCAGAAACGCATATGACCAGGTAAGTCTGCCATCATCCAAGTTGTCTCACCTCATTGAGAGAAACAACTGAATAAAAATGATGCCAGAAAATATGCAAATGACAGGTCTTCCTAGAAAGTGAAAGAACCAAAAAAGCTGTCAAGGCAAATGGGGAGAATGCATCATAATCATGACCACAATGAAAAGTTCCTATGAAGTGGAATGCATTCGGTGACACAATCAAATTTCATGTTTCTGGTTCTAAAGTAGGTAAAAGAATTGAATGCATTCAGTGAAACAACCAGCTGTAGTTTAATACAAAGGACATATTGTAACCGTCATAAATCATCAATGCATTTCTTTCGTTTATATGAATTAGATCATCCAAAATCATAAAACATACTTTTTCTGCCACCTTCACCTTGTTACCAGAAGTTATCATCATCAAATTAAAGTCACTCTAATCTTGCAATGTCATTCATGGGTCACAATTAGATCCCTAGTTCCATGCTTTAAAAAAATATTCAACCAAAAACTTCTACCATATTGCTAAATTGATCAACTAACGTATTTTAAAAGGGAAATACTAGAACCATGCATCACTACCAAATTAAGTATCCTCTATATACTAGTCAAAATAGTAACTTGATGAGCTTGTGGTCATCCTGACCAATTACAGATATCAGATCACCTCCCAAGTCCCTGCCTCAAAAGCTTTCATTTGTAAAAGCAACGAAAATCATCACCTTTCCTAGACGTTTGTGCATATATAAGACGTAAATAAATTATGTGGATTCAACAAACAGGTTTTTGCAGAACATTTTAATAAGATCAATTTAGATTGAAAAAAATTTTAAACTTTAACAACAATCCAGGGAAGAGATCATTCTCCCTTCCAAATCGATTCACTTTAATCTCGAACTAATCCCTAGCTAAATTGTAGCATAATCCAAGATACTTCCTCACAAGTCAAGATTCAAGAGATATTATCTTACTAAAGATTTCAAACCCTATTCGTTGTTTTTCCAGCGAAAACATAATTAGGAACCATAAATAAACAACTAAATCTCAAAGGATGACATAATTCAAGGGAAATTCGTGAAGACCGAAGATAATTCAAAGGAGATTTCAATGGATTAGTTACCAGAGAAAAAGCTCGATAGGGTTCCAGGAACCGACGATGATTTTCAGGGTAGTATCTGTTGGGCTCTAAACTGCGGCCATTGAATTTTGCCAGAGAGCTTCTGCAAGCTGTTAAACTACCCTTCCATGCGTTTATGGAATTTCCTCTTTACTATTTTTTTTTTTTTTAACTTCAACAAAGTTTATGTTTGAAAATATTTTAAATAACTTTTTTTTTTTTCTGTTCAATTAAAAAAACGTTTTATTTCTCTCTCTATATATAATACATACATGTTTAACATTAAACTTTTAAATATAAAATAATTAAAAATAATTTTATTTATTTATAATCAAATTTTAATTTAAATAAATTATAAATTACAAATATTAAATATTATTTCATGTTAATAAAATAAATTCTAAATAGTAATTAAATATAAATTTAGATTTAGTCTTGATAGGAGTAAAATTCACGACAATTTAATAAAATATACAAATAAAAATTTAATGAAATTAACACTAATATAAATTATTATTTATATTTATAATTATTCTATATTGATTAAATACATTTTATCAATTTTTTTTTTAAGAAAAAGAAGATAACACTTAGAAATAATCACACACCCGGGTTTGAGCCGGTCTGGGCCGGTTTGGGCCGGCCATTAGCTCGGTACTGTGTGCTCTCTTGCATCAACTCTTCTAAAGGGAACTGAAAATGGGAGGAAAATGAATTTAATACTGAAGCGATCCGTCAGTAACTTCTCTCAGCATTCACGCATTCTCCCGTACAATTCCGGACCAGATCAATGGATCCGAGACCCAGGAAACGGCCGAAAGCTTCCCCAAACCGGCCCAGTCCCTCCTCCTCTTCTTTTCCGAGCTCAATTATGGAACCACCCGCTAGCTTGTTTCCTTCCAAGGGGGAGTTGTTGAGACTGATACCTGTGCTGGCTATCGCATACTCGGTCGCTTTCGCCTGCCATTTCGTGCTCAACTTCATTAACACCAGCCCGAAACCTTTCTGCAATAGCAACGTGGACTACGTTGATTCTGTCTCCGGTAAATTCACGTTCCATTTTAGTTCATTTTATCTTTTATTTTTGTTGGATTTTTCGCCTGCAAGAACAAAATCTTCGACAAGGAAAGAGAAGAAACGAGATTATGGATGCTTCTTAATTTGCTGTTTATCGAGCTAATTATGTGGCTTTTAAAGCTTTTTATTTTTGTTTGTTTGCTTGTTTACTAGTTGCTTGTTGGATTTTTATTTTAAACCTTATAGTTGGTTATGAAGAGATAACATTTTCTATCTATGGTTTTATTTTTATATGATCTCAGCTTGCATTTTCATGACATTCTTTGTAGACTAAACCTGTGTGCATTTGGTGAAGGAATGTTGGCTGTGTTTTCGAATCCAATGTGAATGGTTGAATTTGTCTTTGGAGTTGTAGCAAAAGCTAATTCTTTCTGTAGAATGTGTTTTTTTCCATTTGTTCAGTTGATGAGCAATTTAGCATTGTGATTGATCTTGGTTTAAGAAATCATGTGACTTATTAGGAGGTTGGGATTAATCTCTCCATCCAGAAATTGGGATTAGATCAAGGTATCACACCTAGCAGTTGTTAGGTATCATATAAAAGAAGTTTATATTAGGGTTTGACCGGTAGAAAATGATTGGAGAAGTAAATAGACATCATACCTATGATCTTTTAAACATCCAAGCTAAGGTGGTCCGTTAACCATTTGGCCGTTATTGCCTTGTCGAAGTCACCGAGATTCTAATGCCTAGGTCCTCTTCCCTCCTCTTAGGTCCCATAATATTGCTCATTCCTTTTTCCTGCTTGAGAGTCTTGTCACGGAAGATACGCTCGCCCTCCTCGGGAACTGCAAAATGTGTATTGTAGTGACCCAACTAAACAAACTGTCAACATACTACTTCCTGGAAAACTATTTCTAACAATACCTGAACCCTGAACTTAGCCAAATTTATTCTAGGTCTATGTTCAGTCATTTGCCTGCACTTCCATGTTTCAGTTGGCTAGTTTTGTACCGAAGATTTTGCAGAAGGCTCCTTTGTGAACTTGAAAGTAGGAAAAAAGAAAGCAGGCCGAAGAACATAGATTATGTAAATTATTACAAGGTTGTCTGTCTGTGGTCCAAAGTGATTTTAGTCTACTAGCTGGATTCAAGCAAAATGGTCACCAATTTTATGTCGATCTATTGTTTTGTTTCATCTTATCAGAGTCCTGAATACTATTTGTGTGTGTGTGTGTTTTTTGTTCTGCTTTATTTTATATATTTACTGGTTTTGCCCTTCTATTTTTTTTTTCTATATAAGTGTTCAATCTTTAACTTGATAGCTTGCAACCAATGGATCGGTATTCTAAATGACTTATATTATTAAGAAAAAGAAATCATGTTTTATGAATGATCCAGTTCATGAAATATAACTACCTGTCTGTTTCTCATTACCTGCAACCGTCACAATTAATCTGTGCTCAGCATTACAGATTTTTGTCAGCCTTGTCCAAGTAATGGAGAGTGTTATGAAGGCAAGCTGATATGTGCTCATGGATATAGAAAGCTTGGGAGCTTGTGTGTAGAAGATGGAGATATTAATGAAACAGCTAAGCAACTTGTGTGTTCTTATATTTAGCTCAATCTGACATATTGAATTTTTGTGAGACTGAAATGCGTGATTTTCTTCCTTGTCAGCTTGATTACATTTTTGTAATTTTCCATTTATATATGATAACATGATGCAACTACAGTCCAAGCAGATTGAAGTTCGTCTATGTTCAGCTTATGCTCAAGTTTTGTGCACTGGGATTGGGTCAATTTGGGTATGTTACTTTTTGGAAACTAACTTTGTGAGAGTTATTTCAAGATGATTTCTAAGTGTATATGCTGCCGACTGATCCTTCAGGATCATATGGGGCCAACTTTCTAATCCAAATTTTTACACCGGTCTTCAGATTCTAGAGGATGCTATATGGAAGGATTTAGATTGGTCTGACTTGAAGGTAAACACTGAACCAGACAGTGCTATCTACCAACATGTGAGAAACAGAACAGTGGAGAATGTTAGTAAATTTCTGGAGATGAGAACTAATTCTAACGGGTATGGCATTTTACCCCAAGCCTAATGTTCAAATTTGTCAAAGTTTCCAGCAAGTCCGCTGGTTGTATGTGAATTTAAGTAGTATAATTTGTGCAGTACAAAAAATTTTCTTGTCTTTTTTCTTTTTCTGATAAGATTGTTTTCTTATCTTTCTAAAGGACCAAAGAGCTGAAGTGCCCAGATTTGCTAGTAGAACATTACAAGCCCCTTGCTTGTTGTATCCGTCAGTGGATCTCCAAGCATGTTTTCATTATTTTTCCTGTTTGCACATTGGTACTCTATTCTAAGAAGCAGCCTTTGACTGATTTTAGTTTTAGTATCAACATCTTGAAGCTTGTTGACAATGTTGAGATCTACAGCTTGTGGGCTGTACATTGGTACTCCAGAGGGTTTCTCGTAGACGATATTTGTCAACTAGAGTTGAAGAGCTTTACCACCAGGTATACAAGAGGCATTTTGTTCCTTGTGCACATAATTAGTCTCTTTCTCTACGTGTCATTAGAATCAAAGTTACTTTTAACTTCTACTTGATTTTTAGATAATCATTTTCTTTTGGTGTTTAATCTTTTATTTATATTATAACTTGAAAAATTACTTTCTTTTGTTTAAGAATAAGAACATGTCATTCACAAGGCAACAAGAGGATACTGCCCTCGCATAAAGGAATTTGCAAGAGAGGATGAGTCAAAAACATTTAAAAAGTCCTTTTAAATCATATGACATAGAGTATGGCCTTTGAAACAGAATACACAAGGTTTTGAACTAGTGATCTCTAATCTTTTCAAAAGGTGAGCAAATGCCTGAAAGGTGTGGAGAATGAAGTATGAATTTTATTGGATAATAGGACCCTATATATACAGATGTCCTATTACATCTAGAATACTAGAAAATATTAAATAAGATCTTAGCTAAATAAGAAATAATAAACCTGTACTAATACAAAGGATATGCTGAATAGTTCCTAAACAAAGTACATATCCTTAATCATGCATAAAAGATTATAACTACATCAATATCATTAATATTGAAATAATCCCAATCTAGTATCTTCCTGTTCTATTCACTCAAATACTGGAATTGCTAACTGCTTTTGATTTTCATTTATTTGCATGTAGGTAAACAAATTACTTTTTATCATTGTTGATAAGTTATTGAAAATGAAAATGCGCAAATCGATTTGCTACCAACTTGACAGGTATGCGACACACTTGAGGAGAATGCTTTGACATCAAAAAGTAGAGGTGGTGAATTTGAACCCTGGGTTGTTGCATCGCGGTTACGGGATCATCTTCTTTTGCCCAGAGAAAGGAAGGATGTGGAGTTATGGAAAAAGGTTTTTTTTTTTGTTTTTTGTTTTTTTTTGCCTTCTTGATGAGCCATTTACTTCAAATAAACCGTAACTAACTTTTGATATCTATTTTGATATTTCCACCCTGTAAATTAGTGCATGCTTCATTTTTTAGTGTGGATCTAATCATGCTGCAGTCAATCTCATGTGGGATGACATAGTAAAATTCATTCATTATGACTTGTTGCAATGGCCATCATCATTGACATCCATGTTGCAGGCTAATATATTTTAGATACTTAGATTTGTTCTATCTGTATTTATGGCTTCTTATAATTGCAAATCAAGTAGTTAACCTCCATTTTGCCTCTGAATGGTTAGTGTCTTATATGCAAGTTTTAAGTTAGCTTGTATTTCTTTTTTTTTTTTCTGAGGGAAACTAATTCTTGCTAACCCGTAATTGATCCAGTTGGGTTATATACTTTTGGTATCTACTTTTTTCTTGCCACCTTGAGGCCTTAACCTATGTGTATGTTGGCCTTCTTCACTTGTTCTCTGGATGTTATCAACTTGCACCATTCTTCTGTATTTGTGCATCTCTTCCTTGTAGATTATCTGAGATTTCTATTTATTTTTTATTTTTGTTTTATAACTTTTTTCCCTACCTAATTAGAAGGCCTGACAAAGAATGTTCAGAAGGATCTGGATTTTGGTGTTTACAACAGCGCTTTTCATTCTAAAAAAAAAGTTTTGTGCTTACAATAGCATCAACTGTTTTTCTTTTCTCTTTTGACTCCCTCTTTTGTTTGCTATATTCCTTTTTTATATTCATTTAGCTTGTCCTCTAGTTAAAGCTATGTACATGATAAATTTCTGTTTTATGCTTCTTTAGGTTGAAGATTTGGTACAGGAAGACTCCCGAGTAGATCGTCATCCAAAGATTGTCAAGGGAGAATCAAAGGTGGTATGGGAATGGCAAGGTACATGAGGTGGCTGGTTGTTTTCACTTAATAAATCTACTGCCTGGTGGTTTTCCATTATTGTCATCATGAAGTTACAGATTAACATGTGAAATAAAAAGGTTTATGAAAATCCTTAAATCTGAGTTATACTTGTGATAATTGTCCATTCTGTTGAGAACTAACTGACTGTCAAATTGGCCACATAAATGATTCCATGTTTAGACATCTTCTTCTTCCAGTTTCTTATTCTCTCTGTAGAAGTGGTATAATCGACTTTCCTCTTCTTGTTTCAATTCTAATGTAAGTTTTTTCTTCTTTCTCTAGTTGAAGGATGTTTGAGTTCTTCCAGGTTAAAGAAAAAGAGAGAAAGTAAATTGAAGTCCAGTGAAGGCATGGACTTGAATTCGGAAGAAAAAAAATGCACAGTGATGGCTTGTGAGCTACAGATCTATCTTATCTTTGTTTATCATCCTTTGATATTTTGACTCATTGAAAAAATCTCTGCTTTCTGTGATCTTCTTCAGTTGCATCTTGCAGGTGGCAGTCCTAATATTGCTGAACTGATTTGTCGATTGTTGGTGTTTTTGCAGAGCCTAACAAACAGATGTTGATATGAGAATGTTTCTGAGTGATCAGTACAATCCTTTCTCAATCCCATGTCCCCATGCAAATTCTTAGTTCTTACCATTTCCATGTGCAGTGATTACGAGGGTATCCGATAAATGCAAGGCATGCAAGGAGACAGACAATCTGACTTCTTCACTGAAGCTGAAAATGGAGAGTTTTAGAGATGACCGAAGTCGTCATGGAGACATCCTATGCATGAAACCTGTGGACGACATGAAAACATTTTCTGATTGGAGTACCTAACCAACTTGGAAGTAAACGTTTTAGAAGTAAGAATGTGCACAGCTTTTCTTAACCCGGATATGCAGCTTCGTGGCGTGATATCAGTAAATCTC